GTCCTTTCGATGGATGTTGTGTTTAAACTTGATGTGAGCTCCGATTCCCGGAAAAAAAAAAAAGCTCGAAGCCCACAGGGCGCTCGCAGGGCTCGCTGGTGCGGATGCTTGACGCGTCAGACGCGGCGCAGGGGTTTGTCAAGCGATTGGGCTGTTTGACCACGGTTTCGCGGTTTTCGCGAAGGGCTACCCCTCCTCCCACTAACATAGCACCTGCAAAAGGGTATCTGGAAGATCAGTTTCCTCTTGAAGCGACCCTCTGTGAGGTGCTGTGTTAGTTGGAGAGAGGGTATGCAGTCAGATTGTCATCTTGCCACGACTGCAGACTCTCTTGAAGCAAGGTACATTGCCAGCTATATGCTGGTGACCATGGGCATTTTCAACGTCATCCTGGCAGTTTATGCTCCTCGGCGAATCTTCGGAAAAGATGGTCTTGGGGCCCAGGTCCCTGGGCGTTTTGCATTTGCCGCGGCGATCTGTCCTGACGGTGTCAGTCAGAATCAGCGACCCTTTAGGATGTCGTAACTCGCCAGCCTCTTCAAGCTTGTGCATTGAGCCTTGCCTTTGAAACTGAACATGTAGCCGGCATTTTGGTGTTGGCCTTCTCGCTATGAACCGCCAATGCATTGAGCACATTCAGACTACTGAAAACCGATCTAGCCGGCATTTTGGTGTTGGCCTTCTCGCTATGAACCGCCAATGCATTGAGCACATTGAGACTACTGAACACCGATCTAGCCGGCATTTTGGTGTTGGCCTTCTCGCTATGAACCGCCAATGCATTGAGCACATTCAGACTAGTGAACACCGATCTAGCCGGCATTTTGGTGTTGGCCTTCTCGCTATGAACCGCGAATGCATTGAGCACATTCAGACTAGTGAACACCGATCTAGCCGGCATTTTGGCGTTGGCCTTCTCGCTATGAACCGCCAATGCGTTGAGCACATTCAGACTAGTGAACACGGATCTAGCCGGCATCTTGGTGTTGGCCTTCTCGCTATGAACCGCCAATGCATTGAGCACATTCAGACTACTGAACACCGATCTAGCTGGCATTTTGGTGTTGGCCTTCTCGCTATGAACCGCCAACTGCATTGAGCACATTCAGACTAGTGAACACCGATCTAGCTGGTATTTGGGTGTTGGCCTTCTCGCTATGAACCGCCAATGCATTGAGCACATTCAGGACTACTGAACACCGATCTAGCCTGTTGGCCTTCTCGCTATGAACCGCCAATGGCCATTGAGCACAATTCAGGCCTACTGAACACGATCTAGGCTGGCTTTTGGTGTGGCCTTCTCGCTATGAACCGCCAATGCATTGAGCACATTCAGACTAGTGAACACCGCTCTAGCCGGCTGTTGGTGTTGGCCTTCTCGCTATGAACCGCCAATGCATTGAGCACATTCAGACTAGGTGAAACACCGATCTAGCTGGCATTTTGGTGTTGGCCTTCTCGCTATGAACCGCCAATGCATTGAGCACATTCAGACTAGTGAACACCGATCTAGCCGGCATTTTGGTGTTGGCCTTCTCGCTATGAACCGCCAATGCATTGAGCACATTCAGACTAGTGAACACCGATCTAGCCGGCATTTTGGTGTTGGCCTTCTCGCTATGAACCGCGAATGCATTGAGCACATTCAGACTAGTGAACACCGATCTAGCCGGCATTTTGGTGTTGGCCTTCTCGCTATGAACCGCCAATGCGTTGAGCACATTCAGACTAGTGAACACCGATCTAGCCGGCA